GGGGTATGTATGAACATAAAGGTATCGCTATTGGGATCCTCTCTCCAGTGTCTGCGTATCTCTCGTCAATGTGGTCTTTTGGGAACACACAATGTTTTCCCTCCTTCTCAATTCCGTTTATCCGTTCTCCACCCTCTCTGTGTTTTACTAACCTTCTACAGATCTGTTTTCTGATGAGCTCCTTCACTGCCCATGCCTGACTCTCTTGAGACTGCTTGCCTACTGGTCTTTCTCAGCACACTGCCAGCTCTGATGGTCCTGATCTTGCTCCCTCGGACTCCTCACCCCCCTGTTGAGTCTCTTCCTCTGGCTCCTCCTCCTCCTGCTCGACACACCGGTAATCCAACCTCTACTCGTCTTCGTGACTTTATTGTTGGTTCTACTGCTTTTTTCTACTTATGAAAACCCACTCCTATGGGAGGCTCGCTCTAATCCTCTTTGGCAGCAAGCTATGACTGATGAATTACAGCTTAGACCAAATTACACTTGGGACATTGTTGATCTTCTCCTGGCAAGACTGCCATTGGCTGTAAAGGGTATAGCAAATCAAAACCTATTCTGATGGTCTATTGAGCGCTATAAGCTCGCCCTTGTTGCTAAAGGCTTCAATCAAGAATATGGTATTGACTATGAGGAGACCTTTGCTCCTGTTACTCGTCTCACTCTGTTCGCAGCCTCATTGCAGTTGCTACTACCCGACACTGGAATCTTTATCAAATGGATGTGAAAAAATGCCTTTCTTAATGGTGTTCTTCTTGAGGAGGTCTACATGCAACCTCCCCTGGGTCACTTATCCACCTCATAAAGTCTGCAAACTTCAACGTGCTTTATATTGGTCTAAACAAGCTCCCCGCGCTTGTGTTTCCAAGTTCAGCTCTACTATTCATGACTGTGGTTTCACTCCAGCCTTTATGATACTGCACTGTTTATCCGCAAAACTGCTCAAGGGACCACCTTGCTTCTTCTTTATGTGGATGATATGATTATCACCGGTGATGATGTTATGGTATTCTTCATCTTAAACAATTTCTTAGCCATCATTTCGAGATGAAAGACCTGGTCCTCTCAGCTATTTCTTGGGTCTTTGAAATCTTCCATGATTCCACGGGTTCTTTTCTCTCTCAGGCTAAGTACAATCTGATCTTCTCACCCGTGTGGTCTTACCGATTGCAAGCTGCCTCAACTCCCTGGAGCCTCAGAGTCGTCTTACTCTTGATGGCACTCTTCTCTCTGATGTATTCTATATCGTCAGCTGGTTGGCAGTCTTGTCTATCTCACTGTTACTTCATCTGATATTACCAGATTCGGTCTTTTCTTCGGCTAGGGTTTGGGCTTTGGTGGCAGCCTCAGCCTGGTCTTCCAGTTTTTTCATTTTTGATTGAAGAGTTTTGTTCTCCTTTTTAAGGGCAGAAACCTCCCTCTTCATGTCGGCCAACTTTGCCCTGTTTTCAAAAGCTTGCATAGAGAGAGAGTGGGCATGTTGAATGGCCTGAAAGAGCACAGGGCAAAAATTATTACAAAATTTTACAAAGTAAAAGAGAAGACAAGTTTCCATGTAAAGACACTTACTTGGACAGAACATTGGAGCATAAAAGCATAGTTCTCGTACTCACTCATCTTGGCATTCCGCTCAAGATCACCTGGGAGAAGTAGGGCGGTACTGAGTGCTACGCCGACATTAATGTCGTCGGCACTATCGCTGGCAAGAACAGGCTTATCTTCTAAAGTAATTTCAGGCGTCCATGGGACTTTTGGTATTCTGGACCCCGAGGTCGTCGCAGACGATGTCCTCGGCTTCTTTGATTGTGTGGACTCTGATGGCTGTGTCTCAGCAGACCTTTTTTTTGGGAACGGAAGCCGTTTTCTCACTCCCTGCCAACTGAGAAATTGTCAGGGTATCCTCAGCCTCAACTTCAGTGGCTTTAGCCCTTGGCTGGGCTTTCTTGGTTCGTTTCGGCTTTGGTGGGGGCATGGTTTGCGTCGGCTGAGCATCGACGTCAACTGGGAGATCGGCAATAAGGTCTTGAGCAACGGGCTTTGGGTGACCCATCTCAGCAGTTTTGACAAGTCTTCGCCGACGTTTTCGTTCTTGTATTGGAACCAAGTATGGGGCTGAAGTAGATGGTTGATTGGTTGGGTCAGATGTTGACTCTTGGTCTGTTCGTGATGTAGAGGCGGTTTGAGTTGTGGCAGTAGGAGGAGAAAGGCTTTTCTTCTTTCTTTTGGAGATGTTGGGCAAAATCGATTTGTATGTAGGAATAAAGTTGAGAAGAAGAGGTTCTTTTCTTTTGTGAACTGGCAAGTCCAGGAGTTTTTTCAGGTCCTTACTGGGAACGTAAGATTGGCGGAAGTTTTTCGCTGGCTTGCGAACGTCTGCAAGAAGAAACAGTCATTAGAGACAGATAAATATTGAAGATTTGAACAGAAACAACTAAGTATTGACACTGGGCTCTTACCCTTGCCCTTTTTAACTGATCGGGGAAGAGGGTAGAGATGGGCGTCTTCGTTTGCGCCAAACTCCCAATTTCCCGAAGCAATAACATAATCATCTCCAACCCCCTTGTTGGAGTTTGGGAGGTCGGCTACGATTTTGAATTCTGTAGACCTCGGCTTAAGATAATAAATGAAGCCTTTTTCTTTCAAGTTAAGGGCACACATGGTGTAACAATACTGTATGTCGGCTAAGGTGATCCTAACGTTTTCCTGTTTAGCTAAGGCGATAATACCAAAAATTATTCGATAAGAGTTGATTGCCAGTTGCATGGGATTCAACTTATAATAATGAAGAATCTCACGAAAAAGGATGTTGAGTGGGAGCCGGAGTCCGCATTCAGTAAAAGCTACAATGGAAAGGGACATGGCATTTTCTGTAGGCATGATGGAGTCGCCATCCCCAGCCAGTCTCAGGTGGACATTGGCAGGGATGGAGAACTCTTGCCTAAAGTACTCAAATTTGGTCGGGGTATCTACCCTGTGCCTCCACATACCCATAACGTCGGCCTAAGATCAGAGGGCTAGGTTTCAGAAAGAAAATGTTCTTAAGGGGTTATCGGGACCTTAGCGAAACCCTAGGTATATGCTGGTAAGGATTGTTTCAGTTTTTTCCTAAGAATTGATAGGGTCTATAGACAAATCCCAAACCTAAATCTATAAAGGCAAAGATTGAAAGCAAAAATTGAAGGCAGAGATCTGGAAAACAACACGGGAAACAAGAAACCAAAATGCAGTTTCAGAATGAAGAACAGAAGTGGGGTTCTCAAAAGCATAAAGAAAACAAGAACTACAGGGCCAAGAACAGCGGCAAAAATGCAAGAAGTAGTGAACAATAAATATGATTCACGGAATTAACAGTTTAAACAGAACAGTAATGGCAGCAAGAAGATAGAAGAACATCAGTAAACTGAATACATAAAGAATAGTGGCTTACCAGAGAAATTGAAGCCGGAATAAAGTTTGTCGAAGACAGACGACGGTTACAGAAGTGACAGAGTAGCGAGAGCCTCACCAGAGAGACGAATGAAGTTGCAGAGCTTGGAGCTTGAACAATGGCGGATTTGAAAGAAAGAGTTTTAGAGAGAGAAAAAAGCAAGAGAACTCAGATGCAAAAGTGAAGAGACGAAAGAAAGGGGGAAAGATTTTGTCAAAAAATGAAAACGGTAGAAAAAACAATCAATACGCCTAAAAAAGCGCATACGCCAGACGGCGCATGTGAAGAAGAGATGACTTATGGGCACGTCACAAGCACGAGCCAGTAAGAAGGAAACGCGTGTCTAAAGCAGTTGAATTAAAGTGCATGACAGCTCATGCGCGTAAAAAGTTCCTTAAAAATCTTTGATTTTTTAGGGAAAGCATGTGGCCAAAAATGAATGATCTCGGCTGTCAAATCTTAAGCCGATTTACTGGAAGAAAATACAGATATAGGTTCCAGCTTGAAGGCTTCATTTTTGTTCAGATCCAATCTAGGGGGCAGTTGTGGAGATGTGTTTTCTGGATACCAACATGTGGCAAGGTGACGCCGGCGTGTCAGCCGATGTGCCACGTGTCCTGGTTGTGACGCCGAGGTTATTTCGGCGAGGCCGAGGTTATCTCCGAAGATATCGGAATCCGAGATAAGCGGATAATGGATAAGGGGCAAGAGTCTTAGAGTAAAGAGAAGACTTTGCTAAGATAAGGATAAAGCTCTTAGGGAGTTTATCTTTATCTCTTGAAGAAATCCAAAGTAAGTACAAAATTGGAGTCCATAGAAGTCAAGCTTCTAGTAGGACTAGGATTGAGTAAACTATAAAAAAGAGGCACCCCGTGGGTCTAAGGTACGCAGCTTTATGCTTTGAATAGTAAGTTTAGCACTTGATTATCTTTGAGAGATATACTGACTTGATCGTCGGAGTGCCCCCGGGTGGAAGAGCCACCGTCGGAGCCTTTTCTTTCTGTTACAGGTTTGCTGAAGCCATCTATTCTGCCGGTGCTCTCCAGCTGATTACTAGGCGGACAGTGTGGTCAGAAAATCACTCACACAATTAATCATATAGACCTTACACTTTTCTTTTAAATCTTAATTAATCAGTAATGATATGGACCTTACATGTATATAAGTGAGTCTCATACATGATTGAAATTAAGGTGGCTATGCGGTTCCAAAAAAACATCCCCAAAGTGTTTGGGAAGTAACTTTTTTAGTTTTTTTTTTTTTTTGGCTAAAATAATACTAAAAGACAAAATAAATTAAAATAATTAATAAAACAAAATATCATATCAAATCTATAATTATTTCACTTTTAATCTTACAAACATCCCATTTAATTATACAAAAATCTAATTATATTTCCAAATACAAAAATTTCAACCTCCAAAAATAACTAAAAATTAAAATAACGTGGTAAAATAGCAGCTTCACACACCCACTTAAATGAAGCATCCCGAACCATACCTAAACCCAAAAATCTCACTTGACAGTTCTTTCTCTCTCTCTCTCCCTCTCTCTGCTTTTCTGTCAATGGCGACGAGCATAGCTTCTGTTTCGATCTCAGGTAGGCGTTTTTCTTCAAATTTCGATTCTGAAATCTTATAACGGGCTTGTGTTGTGCCCTTTGTTGATTTCTAGGGCTTTTCTCAAACTACTTTCTTCTTCTTCTCAAAAGTGCTATGTATTTGATTGCTTGAGTTTTCTGTCTTGGTTACATATTTCTATTGAATTGCGTTTAGAGTTGTATTGTATTGTGTTGCTGTTCAACATGGCGGCATGATGGGCTGTGGTAAAATGAGGAAATAGAGAATATAGTAAGGATAAGCATGTTAACATGTGATTCTGGTTTAATAAACGGTGGTCCTTCTCAGTAAAGTGGAATGTTGAAACAAGGATTGATGTAGTCAACTCAAATAGTTGAGACATGATTTTGTTAATTTGTTCAACTTCCCATGATTAGGATGGTGCTCACCAAATAAACCCTTCTCATAAGCTAAGCCCCCATAATTTATAGGGAAAATTAGTTAAACTTTATTAGCTAAGGTAGAAAATTCAACTGAGAAATTTTCCTGACTCAGGGAAATTTCGCCCGACTTAGAGAAATTTCAATGATTTTGGGGCAAAATTTCTCTGAGTCTGCGCGAAATTTTTCAGAGTCAAATTTTCTCTGTGAAAATATTGAAGGACCTTAACTATTATGAAAATATTGTATATCATTTATCTTATAAAATCTTAATATTAAGGACCTTAAAAAAAAATCTCTAATTTATATATGTAAATTATTCTTTTTTAAAACATTTATTGTCTCTTAGAAAAATTCCATGTCAACATAGCAACACCATCAGTTCACCACATCCTTTCACTCCCCCTCTAAACGGGCCAAATCCGCAGCACCACTGTCAGATATTCAAAAATTGTCATGGTTGAAGCTTGAAGGCTTCATTTTTGTTCAGATCCAATAAGAAAAATAGAGCAGAAAGCACATCTATCACTATGTGAGAGAGAGAGAGAGAGAGAGAGAGAGAGAGAGAGAGAGAGAGTGGTTGGTAAGAGACAATGCGGGAGAGAGTGTGAGGCATGATATGATAGTATATATATGTGATTGTATATAATATATAAAATATTATAGGAACTAAATTATAACAATTGGAAAGTAGCATAGTTGGTCGGCCTCGTTCAATGCTGTCTAAAATGTCTACATTGTGATTCGAGGTTCGAGTCTTGCTCCCAACATTATATTTTACACACCTACTATTTAAAAATACATAAATGGGCCGAGTATTGGGATTGGCATCCTTATCTCCACCCCGTCCTTGATTGGATTTAAAAATTTATCCCCATTCCCACCCTGAACCTCGGAAAAAAATGGCATAAAGCTGTCCCTTTCAGGGTGGGGGCTGATCAAAGTCGGGTTGGATTGCCAAAGGACATAAAATATGTAGGTAGGTTTGAAACCCAATCAAGGACGGGGTGAAGAAAGATGGGTGTGAAATTTCCTCCCTAGACAATTTTTTTTTTCTCCATCCTACTAGTCTCTTCTTAAATCTTTCAATCAGGTTATCCTATAATGATGCAGCTTTAAAAGGAGAACCAAGAGGATGACCAAGATACCTAGTTGGCGGTGAACTCACTTTAAATCCAAGATTGTTGCCAAATTCTCCATATCTTGTGCTCCTACCAGGATCAATTCCGCTCTTTCCAACATTCACTTTTATCAAAAGATCACCTGAAAGCATATCAAATACATTAAAGATAATACAACTACTATTACGTATCAAAAAATAAATAAATAAATAAATTTGTCATCTCCAAACATTAAGGCTAAGTTTGGGAACCACCTAAAGGCCCCGTTTGTTTTCCTCTATCACAGTCCACTTTGGACTGTGAATGATGAATAGCGAAGATGCCTCATGTTTGTTTTAGTTTTGGAGCTCCGGATTTGTAGTCCCTTTCGGACTACGATAGGCCTTGGTGAGGGTATTGTTAGTTTGGGTGAGGAGGTGGTATTAGAAAATAGTCCGTTCGGCTAGGGTGTTACCGGTCGTCTGCCTGGACGCCTGGCCGGTCAACCAACTGGTCAACTACAATTTTTTTATTTTTTTTTACATGTTGGGCATTTTTTTTGAACATTAATGTTTAATGTTTTTGTTTTTGTTTTGTTTTGGTTTTTTTTTTTGTTAAGTAAAAAACATAATTTAATTTGTTTTATTATTTTATATTTATTAATTTAACAATCCTTGAGGTGGTATTAGAAAATAGTCCGTTCGGCTAGGGTGTTACCGGTCGTCTGCCTGGACGCCTGGCCGGTCAACCAACTGGTCAACTACAATTTTTTTATTTTTTTTTACATGTTGGGCATTTTTTTTGAACATTAATGTTTAATGTTAATGTTTTTGTTTTGTTTTGGTTTTTTTTTTTGTTAAGTAAAAAACATAATTTAATTTGTTTTATTATTTTATATTTATTAGGGTTGGTTTGGGATGTTTTAAAAAAGTACACTTTTTGACTTATTGGTTTATATGGGTTGGGTTTGGGTTGAGTTTGATGTGATGTGTTAGAGAGGTGATGTGATTTAAATAAGATGATGTGACTTAAATAGGATAGTGACTTTTTGACTTTTTGTATTATTTAGTTTATGCCAAACCAACCCTTAATTTAACAATCCTTACACTAACAATTATCATTAAAACAAATACAATTTTATTAATCCTCTCACTATCAATCCCCTCACTACTAATCATTTCTATTCTACCTCTGAAAACAAACGGACTCAAAATAGCCAAAAAGTAAAAAAGTTACTATAAAAAAGTTAACTATTCTCTCTACTTTTGTACATGTCTTTTCGTAAGAAGTCAAAAAAATTCACTAAAATAACTAGTTTCCAAAAGAACCCTAAATGTGAGACTAGCAGCAACTCTCTTCCTACCCTTCTAGTCTCAATACATGGCAACATACTCCTAAATTGCATGATTAATTATCCTGCTCAGAGGCTTCATGACAATAATGAAGAGGGAGAAAGTGGGTCACCTTGCCTTAACCGTCTCAAGCTAGGGAAACAACCCAAAGGAGAGCCAGTAACCAACTTTGAGAATCTAACAGAAGAGATGCAAAGCGAACCTATGACCTCCACTTCTCTCTAAAGCTCATCCTCTCCAAAACATACAATAAAAACTCACCATTAATATGATCATAAGCATCCAATTAACATACAACCTCTTTGGCCACCAAAAGAAGATCCATCAATTCATTTTGCTCAATGAAGTCTAAAATCTGTCATTGCAAAATTAATATGATATGAGTATACCCTCTCCTCTCACAGGGGTACTACACAATTTGCATCACATTAAAATCCCCTCCACCCCACATCAGCTTACCCCACCTATCAACTCCTCTAATTCAGTTCACAAACCCTTCTACTAACCTCTGCCATTAGTCCATACATTTAATATTAGATCCAATAAAGCCCATCCTCCGCTTCAGTAAATTGTCCTCCCTCATCATCACTCTCCTATCCCACAGGAGAAGAATGCCCCTTGTAGTCCCACAAGTTGCTAAACACTCCAATTCTTCAAAATTATTACTCCACAAGCTGTGAACAATTTTTACAATCATCCGCACAATTTTAGTTTGTTGGAGGCTAAGAAGCACAGACACCTCTCCGGAGGCGACGTATGGGTGTTTGACACGTGTCAGACATGAACACGCGATGGACACGCAGTGGACACGAGGCGGGCACTCTACTTGGCGTGTCCCCCTTTTTTTTTTTTGAATTTCTCCAATCGGACACGCTTGGGACACTCTTGGACACGTTGGAGACCAAGAGAGAAGCCCTAACCCATAGATAGAGAGACAGAGGGAAAGAAAAAGGGTGAAGAAGTACCTATTGAAGCCTTAGATCTAAGGTATGTTATTCTTTTCTTCATTTTTCTTCTTTGTTCTTCTTTTCTTCTGTGTTTTTCTTCTTTTTTCGTGGATCTTCTGTCCGCCTCACTCTCTTTCTCTGTATGTCTGTGTGTTCTCTCTCTCTCTCTCTCTCTCTCTCTCTATGTTTGTTCGACACTTTCGCTTTCTGTGTTCGACTCACTCTCTCTCTCTTTCTTTGTGTTCGATTCTCTCCCTCTTTGTTCAACTAATCTTCTTTGTTCGTCTCTCTGTCTCTCTTGGTTTCTTTTTTTGTCCCCTTGTTTTTCTTTTTTCTATTTTTTTTGGATATTTTGGATTAATCTGAAATAAATTATTATTATTTATAAAAAAAACTAATTTGTGAATGAAACTTGATGTTAAAGTAAATAAATAAAATATATAAATTTTTTAAATTTTACATATAATAATTTTTTTGTCCCCTTGTTTTTCTTTTTTCTATTTTTTTTGGATATTTTGGATTAATCTGAAATAAATTATTATTATTTATAAAAAAAACTAATTTGTGAATGAAACTTGATGTTAAAGTAAATAAATAAAATAAATAAATGATATATATTTTTTAAATTTTACATATAATAAATAAATTATATATATTGAGCATGTCCCTAACGTGTTATGTCCCCCATTTTTTGAGAATTTGTGTGTCCACGTGGCTGTGTCGTGTCCCGTGCCTATGCATAATAGGTTGGAGGCATACCAAATGCCTTCTAAGATCAAATCATGGATTCAACAACATTCTTATTATGGAGATTATTTAACCCCTCACCAAAACTGCCAAATGGTCTGGAGACAGTACATCTAGATCCACGTCTTCTCTCACAATAAGAGTGCCCAAGTCTCCCCTCGCTCCTCTTTACCTTTTCTATCCTTTTTTCAGGCAATTTCAAACTCATGCCTTGTTTCATCCCTCTTTCCCTGCCCTCCCCTGCCCTCCCCATTGCTACCTAACATAATCCACCACTTGTTATTACACACTGTCCCCAACATCTCTTGACCTGGTGGAATCCAATTCATCCATTACTCGTTGTCTCATACTATTAGGGCCATCAAATTATCTTGTGTTCCTCCTTCTTCCCTTTGAAACCCTTCCTCCCCTTTAACAACACCCACGACTTCTTTTGGATTGAGATTTGCTTCTTCTTCATAGAAAATTCCCTAACAGATCTAGCAAGGCCTTTCTTACCCATAACATCCCTATTTTGGAAAATAGATCCTTTACCTTCCACCACAGCTTCTCACTTCCGCCTCAAAAAACGTCGCCCCCTATTTCTTAGTCTCTATCAAACTACCACTTGATTCCTCCTAAACAAACGATTGGAAAACCCTTCTCTCGGACACCTGAACTAGCTGTGCACACAAAAAAGATAACTCGTCAATCTGCAGACAAATGGCTTTGCTAACCCTTGCCTATTTCAATCAAAGCGAATTCCTTCTTAGCTGTGCAATTTTTTGGTGACCACACCCATCATCGATGAACATCTAGCCCTAAAAGAGTAAAAAAATTAATAACAAGAAAGAAAGAAAGAAAACATTAATTCAGTTTAGCACACATGATAATGCATTGCCAAAACTGTATATCATATCCTTATTTCATTCAACCACAAGCTCACAATCCATCTCACAAGAATTTATATGATGTAACATGTAATATTTTACACAAATCAAATTTAACCAAGCCATATGAGGATTGCCGTAAGGCTTTTATTACCTTGTGCTTTGAAGCTTCAAGTGACTTCCAGAAGGCACGTAGTAAAAAATGGTTGTACATAGATTCTAAATTTATTAGATATACTCTATGAATAGATAATTTGTTGGTAGATGTTATGATTAGGAGGAGAGTTAGTATAGCATGCGTACAAGAAACTAAGTGGACGGGTGAGAAAGTTAGGGAAATTGAGGATACCGGTTTTAAATTGTATTATAGTGGTAAGGATAGACGTAGGAATGGAGTAGAAATCATAGTTGCCAAGGGTCTTGTGGAAAATGTAGTTGTCATTAGAAAAGAGAATATGATTTTGTTAGTTAAATTAGTTATTGGAGGGAATATAGTGAACGCTATTAGTGCATACGCCCCTCAAGTAGGATTAGATGATCAGACTAAGAGAGATTTTTGGGAGCGAATGGATGAGATCTTACAGGAGATACCTGCAGGAGAGAACCTAGTTATAGGTGGAGATTTTAATGGTCATGTAGGCATAGATAAACTAGGCTATGAAAGGGTGCATGGTGGATACGATTTTGGTGATAGAAATGAGGCTAGAGAGTATCTTAGATTTTGCATTGCTTTTGACTTGGTGGTGGCCAATACTATGTATAAGAAGAGGGAGGAGTATTTAATAACCTTTAAGAGTGGGTCAGTTAAGAGTCAAATAGATTATTTCTAAATGAGAAAGGTGGACCGCCTAAAATCTGGAGAGAGCTTGGCCTCTCAATATAGGATTTTGGTACTAGATTTATGTTTTAAAAGGTCATACCAAGCTAGGAAGGATAGTGGGTGTCGTAGGACGAGATGGTGGGATCTAAAAGGGGATAAACTAGAAATATTTAAGAATGAAGAGATGAAGGAACTTTGAAGTGAGGAAACAAAGGTATTGGTGAAGGATGAAGAGATTAAGGAGAGATGGAAGAACTATTTTGAGAAACTATTAAATGACGAACATGAAGGTACGTCAATAGGGGAAGAACTAGCTAGTAATACGATAAACCAAGACTATAGATTTTATTGCAGGATTAGGAACTTTGAAGTGGAGATTGTACTTAAGAAGATGAAATCAAATAAGACTTTAGGACCCGATGATATCCCTATTGAAGTTTGGAAGTGTTTGGGTAAAAAAGGGGTTGCTTGATTGACTAGGTTGTTTAGCAAAATTTTGTTAATTAGGAACATGCCAGATGAGTGGAGGAAGAGTATTTTGATGCCAATCTACAAGAATAAAGAAGATGTTTAGAATTGCAACAACTACAGAGGAATCAAGCTAATGTGTCATATAATGAAAGTGTGGGAGAGGGTGATGGAACGCCGATTGCGAGATATAATAGAGGTGTCAAAGAATCAATTTGGGTTTATGCCTAGCAGGTTAACAATGAAAGTGATCTATCTTTTGAGGGGAGTAATAGAAAAGTATAGAGAAAAGAAGAGAGACATTCACATGGTGATTATCGATCTTGAGAAAACATATGATAGAGTGCCTCAGGATATAATATGATGGGTGTTAGAGAAGAAAATGGGTGACAAAAGGTTACATTGATGTGGTTAGGGACATGTATGGAGGGGTGGTGACCACTATTGGATCGCCTGCTGGAGACAAATGAATTTCCTATCACTGTAGGGTTGTACTAAGGATCTAACTTAAGTCCTTATCTTTTTGTTTTAGCTATAGATGAGTTGACGAGAAATATTCAGGATGACGTGCCATGATGTATTGTTTTGCAGACGATATCGTGCTAGTGGATGAGATTAGAGAATGAGTCAACACAAAGTTGGAGATTTGGAGAAAAACACTTGAATTTAAAGGATTTTGGATAAGCAGAGCTAAGACAGAGTACACGGAGTGTAAATTTAGTAACAGTAACAATGAAAGCAGATGAGAAGTGAAGACTGAGAACCAAGAACTGCCTAAGAGTGAACATTTTCGTTATTTAGGGTCGATTATCACAATAGCGGGGGAGATTGATGCGGATGTGATCCATAGGATTAAGACGGGATAGAGTAAGTGGAGAAGTGTGTCTGGGGTACTGTGCGATAAACGAATACCCACTAGACTAAAAGGTAAGTTCTATAGAACGACTATTAGACCAGCGATGTTGTATGGGACGGAGTGTTGGGCAATTAAGAAACAACATGTAGATAAGATGAATGTGGCTAAGATGAGGATGCTAAGGTAGATGTGTGGCAAGACAAGACAAGATAGAATTAGGAATGAGTGTATTTGGGAATGGATAGCAGTAACACTGATAGAAGATAAGTTGAGAGAGAATTGATTGAGATGGTTTGGTCATATTCAATGGAGACCAGCAGAGGCAGTAGTGAAGAGATGTGAGGCAATGACGGTAGATGGAAGGTGTTAGGGGACCGGGTAAGCCTAGATGAACGTTGGCTAGCGTTGTAAATACAGATATGGATCTACTTAATTTGACTAATGATATGGTTTTTAATAGAGTCACGTGGAAAAGAAGGATTCATGAAACCGACCCCATTTGATGAGACTTAAGGCTTGGCTTGATTTAGTTTGGTTTTGTTTTGTTTTGTTTGTTTATGATGTTTCAAATGATATTTGACTTGCTAGTTAGATTTTTTTATTGATTTTTTGAGAAATTTTCTTATGATAATTTCCTTGTGTTTTCATTCAGTTGAAGTGTAAATGAGAGTTTAATAATGGTTAATTGTTTCAATACCGGTTTTAGGTGGAGTCCATCTCAAATCACGTGAGCTTTGGTCTACGAAGTGCCACACGCTTGGTAATACATCGAGATTGGCAATTCAAAGGAAATCAAACCAACCAGGATTCAGCCGCAAGCTTTTTGTTTGTGCAGAGCACAAGTATGAAATTTGCTCTCTCCAATTTTTGAGAAAGAACTTGAAAGTTTAGGAAGAGAAATATGTTCTTTATGAGTCGGAAGATAATATTTTGATGATGTTGTTTACTTCTTTTAAGGAGACCTAGAAATGGTATGCACATTTATTTCATCATGCTGTGGTAGTGAGTGCCACAAGATTGTTGGACCCTCACTTTACTGTAGACCTTTCATGGAAATATGCTTATAAGAATTGTGTGCTTCACATTACTTATCACGATAAAAGAAAAAAAGATGGAAATAAAAAGTTTTGCTTATTAATTGTCAGTTACTTTTTCTCACACAATAATGCCACACAGGTAAGCTATGTTTATAATTTATAGTAAAACTGTAATTCTAGTAATACATGTCATGTGCTGAACTTAATATAAAAAATGGACAGATAAATGGTAAACCAAAATCGACCAAATAATAACTTGACAAGAATGGGATTAAATTACATCTCTCTCTGTGCACATGCTCATTTACATTGAATGTTATATTGTGTTGGGTGGCATGGTGTATTTGTGATTTTGACAAATTAATTTCAGTTTTCATTCTTTCCAGCTTGTGGAGTAATTTCTAAAATGCTTTGCTTGTTTGCACCCATTGTTTTCTTTCAAATCCTTGATTGAGTATCATGGACGAAGTTTTCTTCTAAAAGCTAACAACTTATACTCTAGGGATAGGTGATATGTTTCAATCCCTGTGGTTTGTCATATTTCAAATACTCTAATCAGGTCTCTTGACTGGTAGCAAAATCTAGTTAGGTATAGAGCCTGTTTGGATGCCCAATTGTGAACTTAAATGGTTTGATTCACCTTTTACATAGCATTTTGATTTAAAATTCATTATATTGAATGGATCCACTAGGGAAAATGGCACCGATTTCAGAGATAATACCTGCCATCTTGAATTTTGTTATTTCAAGAAAACCTAAAAATGACAACTTAAGAAAATATATTGTAAAATTTCCTATTCTCTACATGATTCCATTGAAGATATCAGATTGACCATTCAAATTTGAAAAACGCACATGCAGACCTTGTCTTAGCTTTTATTTATTTGTTTTAATTTTTAAGGAACCATGTCTTAGTTTTGGAACCAAGTACGATTGGTATTAGGTGAGATCAAAATGAAGGTTAATTTATCTTTCTATCTCTAAGGACAACTATGTCGTTTAGATGAACTTTAATGTTAGAAGGGGTTCATGAAAGGGAGGTGATAATGTTAGATAATGGTAAAACACCATGGGATTCTCGAGAAATGATTTCCGAACTGGGCCAGTATGTGATTTATTGCTTGTTTCTTGTTGAGGTTGGTGAGATGTAATGCTCATTGGCCTTGTCTTCAAGTTTACATTTGGTGTTTTTCATTTGTGCATTTTTATTGTTGATTCCTTCTTCTCTTGATTACGGCATTTGTTAGGAATTTTTTGAAGTGATAATTATTAGTATTGCCTGATTGAATTCTGCTCAAAATACATTTTGGTTTTCCATCATTTCCTTTGTTATATGCAGTGATAGTAGAGGTGGAGGAGGTGATTTTGTTGCAGGTTTCCTTCTGGGCGGTGCATTGTTTGGAACGTTAACATATATTTTTGCTCCCCAGGTGATTAAATATATTCCAATAAGCTTTTAGTTGTCAGCTCCATAAATTAACATTACAGCTTTTCCAATGTCCTATTCTATGGGAGTGAGAATTGAATATTGTATTAGCCAAACATTGCTTTCTTCCTTGTCAATTTTGTGCTTTGGTGGTCCATGGTGATGTGTGCAGACCATGGTCCATTTGCAAATAATGGTAGGCACTAAGACGGTGGAGAGCCACCAGAGGTAGAGAAGGAGAGAGCTCATGAAGCCTTGAAGTACAGAGAGAGTGGCAGTGAGGGAGAACCTGAGTTTGCCGGAGGTGGTGAGTATGACTGTTATGTAGATATATACACCCTTGTGTGGAGGTGGAAGCCTCCTTTTATAGGAGGGTTGAGCCATGGAAGCTAACTCACCCTTGCACGGTGCTCTATGTTTGAGGATATGTGGCTTATCCCTCTGGCCCAATTGCTTCAATGCTCAGACCTCAGGGGTCTTAGAGTTGCCGTAGGTAGGTATTATACACCTTTCGAGATATCACTCATCTTTGCCAAAGTCTAATCCCCTTGTACAGAGAGGCCCCTCTCTCGTCTAAGAGGAGACAAAGTGGAGCCATCCTGAGGGGGTGAGCCAGCAAATTTTTATCTCTCTCGGTTCTAACTGCCAATTCATAAGTCCCTAGTGATCCCACACATGGGTCATTGGGACGCTAGGGTGTCCTGAGTGGTCCCTAAGCCTTGCTCCTATCCTAGTCAGGCAAGATAGCGTCAAGGTGCCATTTTGGACATGCGGAGACATTAACACTGTGGACTAATGGCGGAATGCAAAGTGATGGTGTGGTAAAGCCATAGCAAGGGGGCATATGGCTCGACCTCGAGGGGAGCATAAGTTATTTCTACCCTAGAGAGGAGCATAAGTTATTTCTTCCCCAGAGAAGAGCATAAGTTAGCTCAACCTCGAAGGGGAAAGCTCGTTGGCTCCACCCCCTATACAGGTGGGACCATGTGAAGGCTCAACCTGAGAGTGAAGTGTGCTATATTATAGAAGAGAGCGGATGGGAGTGTGCTATATTATAGAAGAAAGTGGATGTTGTTGACCCTCAAATACAAACAAGAGAGTAAGTTGTCTCCAACTTCCACCACAAAGGGGAGTGTTTGGATGTGAAAATTTGCTTAACCCCAGAGGTGAGGAAAAGTTAGCTCAATCTTAAAGGAAAACATAATTTAGACTAACCTTGGAGCGGAGCAACGGTTGAATATAGAAACTAGAATATTATGTTTAGAATAGGAATTAGAATATTTTTTTATGTTGATTGTAGGAATCTTTCTTCTTATTTATATTGTTTCCTAAAATTGTATCATGAATATGTTATATACTATGAAGCACCGACATGTCCCCAGGGCCTGCGTACGAGTATCGAACACGTGTCGGGACACGGACATGCGTCGGACACGTGTCGGACACGCGTTGGACACGTGTCCGACACTCTCTCTAATGTGTCTTCTTTGTTTTTTTGAATTTTTCTAGTCAGATACGCCATGGACACGCATGAGGTGTATCGAAGCCCTAACTGTTGGAGAGAAATAGAGAGAGATCGAGGGAGGAAAGGAGACAGAGAAAGAGAGATAGAGATAGAGAAAGATATCGTGGGAGGAGAGAAGACAGAGATCGAGGAGGAGAGGAGACAGAGAAAGAGGGAGGAAAGGAGAGGAGCCCTAACCTGTTCAGATCAATTGAAGAAGCTGAGGTATTCTTCGCTGCTCTCTTCTTCTCCTCCTCCTCTTCATCTTCTGTCTCCTTCATCTTCTTCTTCTTCTTCCTTTTCTTCGTCTTCTCTTATTCTCTCTCTCTCTCTCTGATTTCACTTTCCCCTCTTTTGTTTCTCTTTTTTATTTTTTCCCCCTTTTGCTGATTCACCCGTCCCCCCTCTCTCTATCTTTTTTTTCCCCTTCTATTTCTCTCTCCTCTATTTTCTTCCCTCTCATTTTCTCTTTTTTCTTTTTTTTTATCCTTATTTTTGTTAAACCTAAAATTCATAAAATAAATTATTTTTATTTAAAAAAACTCATTTTATTTTAAAATATAAAAAATATGTTTATTAATTTTATTGTTATTGTAATTGTATAAAAATTAATGATTTTCTTTTTATTTTAAACATATAATAAATAAATAAAATTATATATATTAAACGTGTCCCCAGTGTGTCGTGTCCCCTATTTTTTAAAAATTTGCGTGTCCCCGTGTCTGTGTTGTGTCGTGTCTCCCATTTTTTAAAAATTTGCGTGTCCCGTGTCTTTGTCGTGTCCCGTGTCCGTATTCGTGCATCATAGGTTATATATATGCATGGCTTCTACCTTATTCAAAGGTAAACCAAATAATTCTCTCCATCTTTTTTGGTATCAGAGTCACCAAACCCTAGCCACCCACCACCCTCTCTCTATTTCCGCAGCCTTTCTCGTCGATAGCCACCCTTCTCCTTCCCCAGCCACCTGACAGCCCCTCCTTTTTCTTCTACCCTAGTTGATAGCCACCCTTCTCCCTCCATAGCCACCCCACAACCCCTCTTTCTTTTTCTACCCTAGCCGACAACCACCCTTCTCCCTTTCCAACCCCTTGGTGGCCTTTCAAAACTAGTGCTACCAGATTTTTAGGTGCTGACTAGACCCCCTCTGGCTTGGGTCTAGTGCGGCTGTCCCTTTTGGGTAGTTTTACCCCTTTCTTACCCTTCTAGGGTTCTTGTTTTTGATGTGGTAAGCACTTTTCTGTGTTTACTTTGCTCTTTGGGCTACTGAACTTGTTCGATAGCATTTATTTGGATAAGCTTTTGAGTTTTTTTTTCTTACTTCTTATTTTTTTTTGGACTGTGTTGCTATCTCTGTGTGCTTTTCAGCGTCATGACTGATCCATCCTTTGTTGTTTCATCTGATATACCCACCAAGCCTGTCCCAATTAGTTTTGATTTTTTTCTTTCTCATCACACTCTTGTTGATGTTCATCGTATTATGAGTGGTGTTGAATAGGAAAAATTTTGCCGCCTGAAGCCGCTTCCTTAAACTCTATTTAGAGGGCAAGGGAAAAGCTCATTGACTTTTATCTTCCACTACCCAGCCTACTGCAACAGATCCTACCCATGCGCAATGAGATATTGATAACTGTACTATTTTGGGATGGATGTTCAACTCCATGGAAGACTGTATTTATCACATGTTTCTCTATTGCGACACTGTTCTCGGTCTATGGCATGCTTTGTCACAGATGTATGCTTATGCTCATAACGATGCTCACAACTTTGAGCTCTATTAGGATATTGCTCGTGCTTTCCAGTTTGCCTTGGGTCTTTCTGTGTCAAAGTTCTTTGGATACCTTTAGGCCCATTGGGAAGAATTGGCTCAATATGAGCCCTTGACTGAGTTAGCAGCAGATGTTGCCTCTCTTGTGTCCAAACGGGTTTAAACTCTGAGTTTGAATCCCTTCGAACTCAGATTTTAAACACATCACCCATGCCCTCTCTCTATGAGGCCTTTGCCACCATTGATAGTGATGAGCGTCATAAGCGTCTAGTTCAATTGAACCCTTCTCCTCTGTCTCCAGTTTCATCTGATCAGATGGCTCTTGCTGCAAAGTCAAGTTCTGAGGGTTCTGCTGATCTAGTTATTTGTCATCATTGTGGAGATTCTGGTCATGTTAAGGCTCATTGCTTCAAACTTCATCTTGAGTTGAAGCCACGTTCTTCTCGCTCTCTTGGTGCTGGCATCCCTTGGACTGCGGCTCTAGTGGATTCTGCTACACTTGCTCTTTGGTCTCCTCATCTCCTTAATTTACAGGAGTTACAGACTAAGATTGGTTAGCTTTAGGCTCAGCTTGGATCTCTTACTGCCAGTTCTCATGGCTTATCATCTTCCCTTGCTTCCACCCTTGCAACAGGTACTTCTACTGCTTTCCATGTTTAGTCTGCTAGTCCCTCATAGGTTTTGGATTTTGGGGCTAATGATCATATGACGGGTGAGTTTTCCTTCCTTTCTTTCTTCACCAGTCTCTATTACTATTGTCCAATCTGTGTGTCTTGCTGATGGTTCTTTGTCCTCGGTTCTTCATAAGGTGTAGTGTCTTTATCCCCTACAATTACTTTATCATCTATTTTACATGTTCCAAATTTTGCATATAATCTCTTATCCGTTAGTCGTCTTGCCAAACTATTTAATTATGCTGTCATTTTCTTACCTTCTTGCCTTTTATAGGACTTGAGTTCAAAGTGGATTTTTGACAAGGGCTATGAGCATGATGGGTTGTACTACTTTGGGAATCCACCAGACGAGCCTTTCTTTTCTTCTTTAACTAGTTTTTAGGCCTCTGTTTTGCCTGCTTCCATGTCTTGTGTTTTTAATTTTCTAACTTTAGAATTATGGTACGCTCGTATGAGTCATGTTAATTTTCAGTATTTATGTCAACTTTTTCCTTTATTTAATAAAGCTTGCAAAGATTTGAAGTTTTATTGTGTGGTTTGTGAGTTGTCTAAGTATGCCACCTGTACTAAGCTATATCCCTCATATGACTCATGCTCCTAGTGCTTTTGATCTTATACATTTTGATGTCTGGGGCCCTTCCTCTGTCACCGTTTTTTGTGGTCATAGATATTATGTGACTTTTATTGATGATCACACTAGGTGCATTTGGGTTTATTTGCTTTGTCGTAAGTCTGACGTTTTTCCTATTTTTGTCTAGTTTTACAAATGTTAAAACTCAATTTCATACAGTTGTTAGGACTATCCGTTTTGATAACGGTAGGAAATATATTTCTAATGCGTTTTGTTCTCATCTTAATGAAACCGGTATTTTTCAACAACTTGTTCTCGGACTCCTGCACAAAATGGTGTTGCTGAATGCAAAAGTTGTCATATTATGTCTATTGTCCGGTGTCTCCTTTGGGGTATGAGTGTTCCTAAGTCTTATTGGCATATGGCTATCTTTACTGTTGTTTATCTCATTAATTTGACTCCTAGTCGTGTGTTGCATAGTCTTACTCTGTTTCATACCCTTATGCCCACTGCCACTCTGTTTCCACTCTTACCTCGGGTCTTTGGGTGTATCTGTTTTGTTCAAAATCGGAGTCCCACTCGCACAAAGTTAGATGACAAATCTATTTGTTGTGTCTTCTTAGGGTACTCTTCCATGTCCAAAAGGTATAGGTGTTATGACCCTATGTCTTGTCACTTTCACCACACTTTGGATGTTACTTTTTGTGAGGGTCTTCATTTCCTTGGTACTAACCCTCCTTTGTAGGCTTCTCCTCCCGTTACTTCCATTGTTCGTCCGATGACCATTTTGGACGAGGTTGAGACTGAGGTTGTCCCGCTCCCTTCTTCTCAACCTTCACCCCTTCCTTCATTGCAAGTATACTCCCGTCGCCCACGCACTCAACCCTCCCTATTGTCTCTCCGATCTTTAGGTCAGATAACTCTTCTCTTTTAGCTCCTCCTCCACCTCCTCGTTGTAACCCACCTCGGGATCAACATCCTCCAAATCGTTTGAGTTATTTGAGTAGTACTAATCATCTTATTTCCCAGTATATTTCCTATGACAGGGTTTCCACCTCTTACGAAGCCCGCCTAGTGGCCAAAGGTTTCATACAAATTCTTGGGAAAGATTTTGGTGCCACTTTTGCCCCCATCATCAAGCTTACTTTTGTGAGTCTCCTTGTCTCCCTTACAGCATCCTATTCTTGGTTTGTTCATTAGCTTGATGTGAAGAATGCATTTCTTCATGGGGATCTTCTTGAGACCATTTACATGGCTCCTCTACCTGGTTTTCGGGCTAAAGGGGGAGTATTCAGGGAAAGTATGCGGTTACGCAAATTCGTGTATGGTCTGAAATAGTCTCCACGATTATGGTTTGGTCGCTTCAGTTCTGTTATTATATCTATGAACTCTGTTCAGTGCCACTTAGATCACACTTGTTTCATTTGCCAGAATTTTGCGGGATAGTGTATAGTCTTGTTAGTGTATGTGGATGATATTATTCTCACATGTGATGATTCTGTCGGCATTGGTCAAGTAAAGAAGGACTTGGGCCAAACTTTTGATACTACTTCCGTCCCAAAATATTAGTGCCTTATTCCATTTTTCATTGTCTCAAAATATTAGTCCCTTTTCAAAAATCAAGGAATAACATAATATGAATTTACTATTTTGGCCTTCTTTTAAACTCATTAATAATACAAAAAGTACAATTATGACAATTGATATTTGCCAAAAAATATAATATCAAAGGGTAATTTTGAAAAATTAATATTTTTAAAATGTAATAATTGTACTATCAAAAAAAGTTGGATTCCCTAAAAGAGACTATTATTTTGGGACAGATGGAGTATTAAGGATCTGAGATGCTTCAAATATTTTCTGGGAATTGAGGTGGCTCGCCCAAGGGAGGGGATCTTGCTTCGGAGAAAGTACACCCTTGACTTGTTTAAGGATACTAGTATGTTAGGGTGTAAACCTGTTTCTACTCCTATAGATCTTAGGCCAAGTTTGGCTACTACAAAATAATCCATCTTTTTATCTTTTTTCCATCATATCACCTCTCTACTTTTTTGCAAATCTTTTCGTAAAAAGACAAAAAGTGCACTTATTTAGGTCATCCCAAACAACCCTTTAATGTCAAGCTCACATCAGAGTCTGGTGAGTTGCTAGATGACCCAAGCATGTATGAGTGTCTAGTTAGACGCCTCATTTATTTGACCAACACTAGATCTGCCTTGACATTTGCGATTAGTGTTGTGAGTCAGTTCATGCATGCACCTTGTAAAGAGCACCTTGATGCGGTTTATCATATTTTGAGATATCTAAAGACTTTTCCTGACTTGAGATTGTTCTTTACAGCTAGTCTCCAATCTGGGCTCTCTTGTTTCACCGATGCCGACTATGCAGGATCTATGGCTGATCGGCGTTTCACTTTTGGTTCTGTACTTTCTATGGTGATTATCTTATCTCTTAGAAAAGTAAGAAGCAGACAATTATTTTTAGATCTTCTGCAGAGGTTGAATATCGGACTATGGCACATGAAACATGTGAGATTCTTAGGCTTCACTTTATTCTGGCATAATTGGATTTTGAGGAGACTGTTCCTTCCTCTTTATTTTATGATAACAAATTTGCCATTATGTTATCTTCTAATTTTGTGCTTCATGAGCGTACCAAGCATATCGAGGTTGACATACATTTCATTCGAGAAAAGGTTCAGATTGGCATTATGGATCCATTCTTTGTCTCTTCTTTTCAACAGTTGGTAGATATGTTCACAAAATCTATGGGATCAACTTTGCTCCAATCTTCCATTAACAAGCTGCGTTTGTTGAATATCTTCGTGCCAGCTTGAGGGAGAGTGTTGAATATAGAAACTAGAATATTATGTTTAGAATATTGTTTATGTTGATTGTAGGAATCTCTCTTCTTGTCTATATTGTTTCCTAAAGTTATATCATGAATATGTTATATATATATATATATACATGGCCTCTACCTCATTCAAAGGTAAGCCAAATAATTCTCTCCCTTTTGCGACCAGAGGGGAGCATAGGCTGATTCCATCATCCACCATAAAGGGAGTATGGAAGCTAAAGTTGGCTCAATGATGTAAGCTAGTTCTGCCCTCCACGGAGTGGAGTGTATGGAAGCAAAAGTTGGCTTGATGCTGAAGGGGAGCATAAGTTTGGCCTGACCTGACTATGGAGGGGAGTGTAATTTGGCTCCACCCTCCACAGAGGGGAGTGTAGATTGGCTCTACTTAGTAGGGGATGTAAGTTGGATCGACCCTAGAGTGGAGCACAAGTTGGCTTCACCCTCCACCGTGGAGGGGAGCATATGGAAGCGAAAGTTGATTTGACCATGGACGGGTGCATAGATTGACCCAACCTCAGAGGAGTATGTATGCTGGCTTCAGTTTCACTGTCAAGAAGATCAGATAAAGTAAATCTGGATTGTTCCTCTATCTTTGCATCTCTTTATGTGATCATTGCCTTTTCATATGTAACACTTCCTTTGAAATCATGTTGTTGATGACTCATTTTTAACTATTGTAATTTGTACATCAAAAATCCATTTTAAAATGTGTGCGTCTTCTAGTTCCCAAATGACTGATGTTTCTGATAATTATTCATTATTGTTACATATACTTCGAAAATTTTTGGACTAGCATGTGAAAGCACTGTATCTTTGTTGTACACAGTGGTGTTTAGGTCTTTGCTTCATTTCATTTGGAATTGTGGTTTATGCTTTTAAGTTTAGAGTTTGTTTGGTCTCTCTCTCTCTCTCTCTCCCCCCATATTTTAGATCAGAAGATCACTGCTAAATGAAGATGAATATGGCTTTCAGAGGGCCAAGCGACCAATATACTATGATGAAGGTTTAGAGGTAATGACAGTGTTATTGGTTTTGCACTGAACTTCTAATTGAATTATGGATTACTTTGTTATAATATTTCTTTATTTTTTCTTTTGTCTTCTTCCTGAAATGCAGAAGACCAGGCAGTTGAATGCAAAAATTAGTCAACTCAATTCTGCCATTGACAATGTGTCTTCACGGTTGATAGGTGGCAATAATATGCCTCCCGTACCAATTGAAAGTGACCCAGAAGAAGCTACCCTGTAAAACCTGCTGTTTTCTGTTGCATAATAAACTGAATACTAGAGGTTTAATTCAACTAGTTGGATCTGTACTTGGGCAATGCAACATTCATTGAAACTTGCTTGACAAATTTATATGAGATTGATATCAATGTGTTTGCTTTCAAGTTTGGCTGATTTATTTGCGAATGTTCAGATTTTGTAAATTTAGTATTTACATTTGCACATATGAAGCTGCCAAAGCGTTGTATTTTTGGTGTAATACAAAATGGGAGATTGGTTAGCCTTTTCCTTCTTGATTGTTGTTTGTGCAATTTTGAGCAATGTCTTCATTTATATCTTATTGTTGCTTTTCCACATTTTGGAAACCTTGTTTATTAGCTTAATTGATCTCTCTGCACAACACCGACACCTCCTCCAACACCGTTGTCGCTGCCTCCGCACCTCCATTTCCACCACTAGCTCCATCACCATTGCTTGGTCCCCAGTGGATCTGCAATGGTTTGCCCTAAATCTATAATCTCTCTCACTCTCTCTGATTGTGGTAGAGAACGATGGTTATGATTGCAGGAAAGGTGTGGATTTGACAGTGCTAAGGTGGAGTGGAGGGTGAGGGATGGGGGCTGGAAATGGGTGGAGGGAGCTGGGGGGCGGTAGTGAGGGAGGGGGAGGGGCTTGGGACAATAAGGGAGGGCAATTGAGTGGTGGCCTACAGTGGAGACAGATGAAGGAAAAGATAAAGATGAAGAAAGGGAGAAAGGAAGAGAGAGGAGGGGCAAAATGGGGAAAAAAAATGAGGCTATTAACAATTGGTTTTTGAGAGCTTGAACCGCACATTTTGTCTCAGTTCACACTACTATTTATTTGAATATTTTGTCTCTGATTCACAATACTATTTGTTTGAAAGTTATTCAAACGATAAAATAGTATGAATTGATAATTTATGTGGTACGCAAATAGAATCTCTCTTGTATCCTATGTGTAATAAAGCCATGGGTACTTGGACATGAATGCATTACCAATATAAAACTATGTTTTTGCAGTTATTTTCGTGTTTTTTTATTAATGTGAATTTTAAATATTTTCTATTTTATTTTTGGTAATGTTGTATTCCATGTTCAATTTTTATGTAGTGTAATTTTTCCTAGAAAAAACCTCCCCCATTTTTTATTTTATTTTATATGTTTTTGAAAAATAAACTTCCAAATTATAATTATTGTACAAATGGTTAATTTTACTTTCATTCCCTAAACGATTGAAATTTTTTAGATACCATTCCCAAACTATGAATTTTAATTATTCAGTTTGTTAAGGTTTTAATTTCAGTTCATATGGAAACTGTCCGTCAAATCACGAATGAGAAAACCTTAGTGAGCAAAGTAGTTTTACAAATTGGACAATCTAGATCATAGAATCTGAATGCCACACTCATCTTCTTCTTTACTCTTCATTTCAAAATAGTGATAATTATTTGATTGTATGATTTAAATTATTTCAATTTTGAAGTAACTTTTTGCATGATGCACCAATAAATCCTAAATTGTGAATTTATGCACTATTTGGTCTTGAAAGATTTCTTATAGATGGGGAGGTCCTATTATACACAATATCACCAATTAGGGCAAACAGAATGTGGGCCTGTGTTACAAAGTGATGGACAACAATGGTATTTTACAAATGATGAAATAACGAAATTGGGCAACATTCATTTCCTTCCTGGTCAATGTTGAAGTGGAAAGATTCTGGTAATCAATGTTAATGGTTTGAACGTCAATCAGACAGATCGTGATTAAAGGTATAAAATTAATTGGGAATGTTCAATTGGAACAAGAAGCTAAAGAGGAAGTTGTGATCCACCACGTATTGTTTTTAGTCATTTGATAATAGTCCATCCGATTTTGTCCCCACACTTGACAAGATATTTATTGGAGTTGGTGAGAGTAATTTTGAGACCTGGATTGTTGATCCTGATCAGTCCAACAGGTTTCGGATGCTAAAGTAAATGAGATTTGAGCTCGTTGGTGGCAAGGACAAATAGTATGTTTGTCATGAAATAGAAGTTGTGGATCGGTTCTCCCCTGTTGATATTTGAACGGACTACAAAAATACGCTGTTAGGAAATGTTGGAAGTATTCAGAAGGGTGCCCTATATTTAGTGGCTGCTACTGTTAGTGGAAAAGAATGCAAAATTACGTTAAAAAGTTAAATGTACTTTAAAACTGTTTAGAATTATAAATTTATGTATTTTTATTTGCAATGTTCAGGTAAATGGAGGTGGATGATATAAAAATTGGTATTGTTGAAGGTGTTTTAGCAAGTGATTTTAGTTGTATTGAACTTACATTACCTAATTTATTTTCTCAGTTGAGATTGAGATACAAACAAAAGAGTTTTAAGGTTGATAAAATATTCCTCCCTTTGTGCACTCAATGTCAGTGGGTTGATCAGAGTAAATGTGTACGATAGGAGGTTAGATAGTAATAACAGTTTGCAGGTGTATTTTATTTTTCCCGTGGATTGCCAGTGCGAATTAGTTTATTATGGGAATGGTTATTGTTCCATTAATGACAAACAGGTGCGATGGATGGTGAAGTATCGACTTGAAAATTTGAAGGTTAAAAGGGGTATTACTTATTGTAAAATGAAGGGGTATTTGAAGTATTCTACGAGTAAAATGCCAGAAGATTTGCAGATGAGAGCCCAATCCATTGTTGTGTTATCTAAAATATATACTAATGATACTGTTGATGTTTGGCATTGTGCTCAAACCAAGGCTATTTTGATTTTGACACGGACTATGTTTGTGGGTTTATCGGAGAGGCGAAGAGTTTTGTTGTTAGGAAGTTTTGGAGAAACTAGTTCAATTATTCATGAACGTAGAGGTCGTCTGAGTTTGTCTAAGATTGATGTATGCAGAGGTGGTGATGGCGCTAGTGATGTTGATCCTGATCCGTCAATTTTGGAGGTTGGTGCTGCTAGAAAAGACAAAGTTGATCGGAGAGGATCAGTTGTTATGGATCCCGCAGAATTTTTTGATGTTTTATGAAATGTAATAATGAGTGTAAAAAATAATGATAAGTCTAAAGATGTAATAGTTGATGATAACAGAAATGTAGTAAGTAAATAAAAGTTTGAGTGGTTACATAAATAAAATTAATAAAATTTTTCATTAATCATGACAATGGTTACATTTATATCAAACCATTCTCTGATTTTTTGAGACATTGCGCCTAACCAACTACTGCCGCTATTAGTTAATATAATACAAAGAATTCTTTCTCTAACAGTGAGATATGGTTAGAATTTAACAAATACATGGAAGTCTCTCTGACAACCTACTAAATTTTTCATTAGTTCGGTTGGAATTGTTGAGTATTTGATGTCGTCTATGATGTTGTAGATGGCGTCTTGATCGTCCTATTGGAGAATGGAGTTTTTCAGAAGTTTCAAGGATTACGATAAAGACGCCGTCTACAACATCATAGACGACATCAAATACTCATGAAAATGGTACAAAACTACACCAGACTCCCCCAATCAACATACACAAAAGAAACCCATTACACCACACAAATGTATAAAGAAAATGAGAATGGTACAAAACTACACAAATGAAAACTTCATATGCCGCATACCATGAACGCCCCCTCCAGAAAAACCAGACAAGCAAAAGCACACACAAACACAAACCAAGCCAAGCCATTAACACAACAAAAAAAGTGTAGAATCACCTGTTATAATCCAGTAGTCCACCCCGAAAACAAAATCAATACCTAGTGCCAAAACCGCCGCAATGTTCAGATCAGTCGTTACACAACCAACCAAATGCCAAGCCTCACAAACCCTTACAGACGTTGACCATTACTTGCGGCCAATGTTACAAACGTAAAACCCTTGCATACGTTATCATACCAACACAACAAACGAATCAACCACTATAGGAAAATAATATTATAGCAGGGGTATTAATGTAACCTAGACATCAACTAATAAACTTTCCCAAAAAAAAAAATAGGACTAAGGTGCATAAAAAAACTCATAGGACTAAATGGTACAACTTTCTCTCACATAGGATTTATGAGTAAATTTTCCTAACTTTCTTTGGCCTATTAAATTAGGTTTTAACATTTATTGATTTATTACAACTTCTTTAATTAGACCACATTAATTAAAAATTAATTTTTTTAAACTTAAATAAATGAAAATAATAATTAAAAAAATTAGTGATTGTTTAAAGAATAAAAGTAAAATTTATCTAACAAAATGAAATAGGTGTACTGCAGAAACATTGAAAAAGATTATGGATTTGTTAAAGCTAAATATCTCAACTTTATAGGTAAAGTTAACATATTGTAAGGAGGGACTAATCTATATTTATGTCAATAATCTAAATCATTCATATATGAAAAATTGAGAAGAACATGCATGTAGATTAAGGCCAAGTTTGGGATGCTGCGAAAAAGCCAAAAAGTTATCAAAAAAGCCAAAAAGTTATCAAAAAAGCCAAAAAGTCACCCTACTTTCATGTTTTGGGCGACCAAAATTGTGTGTGACCTACGGAGGGTAAAAATACTATTCTGCCCCTGTTTTTTTTATTCCTTCCTCAACCCTTTTAACCTCTCACCCGAAGATCCCCTTCTCTCTCTCTCTCTCTCTCTCTCTCTCTGTGTATCAGTCGAGTTCTGCCGAGATAGCCACAAAAGGGGACAATCCGTCTGCGGAGATATCCATACCAGTGACGCCGGAGATCCGTCGCAGCCTTCACTGTCCAGCACCGCAACAGCCGTGGGGAAGTCTGACCTCGACTCGATCGCAACTTAACAGCAACCGACGGCTGTCGGACAATCCGTCGCCCAAATCTGCATCACTTCCGACCAGATCTACACCACGCCGGCCGGTTTCTCCCTAACTACAAGGTAACATCTCTTCTACGCAAATTAATTTTCTCACTCTCGCTCTCCTTTCTCTGATTTTGTTCCAAAACTTTTTCTCTTTTCTACCTCTCTTCTCTTATCTGTAACACCGAAACCCTCTCTTCTCTCTACCGAAACCCTCTATGAATCCGGAACCCAAACCAGATCTACAGATCTGGTTGTAAGATGTGAATTTCGGTTCGGCGATCTATTTCACGATGTAAGCATCTCTCCACGATTTCAGTTCGAATTTCACAATCAGTTGAACCCTCTGTCTCTGAAGATGAACAAGACCAACTTCAGGGAAGACGATGACGTTGTTGTTGCGATTGTTGTGTGTCTACGGTTTGTTGTTGTCATTTCTGATTTTGGTTATGAATTTT